CTTGATTTTCAAAATGAAAATGTTAAATCATGATAAAGACTTTAAGGATTCTTACATAAACAAAAAAGAAGTGAAATGCCAAAAAATACATACTTGGAAGTGCCAACTAATCCAATAAGTAGAAAAAACTCACTATGCATTTAATTGACTATGTGGGCCCAGAAAGTGTTGCCACTGCTTTCTTTAACATGAAGAACGTAAATAAATATGCTTTAAAATGATTTCTCTTCTTTACTGCTTCCACCTCCATTGAGGTAAATAATATAAAATTGAAAGTAAAAAATATAGCTAAATGTGCTATTTTCACACACGTAGTTTATGATATAGAAAATACTCATAAACATGCCATACACAGCAGAATTCATAATCAAGTTGTGAGAAAACTTCTTATGCCCAGAAGAGAATTCTCCTGGTGAGATATTTCCTAGAAGAAAGCACTGGCTCCTGAAATTGTGCCCTGATGCCTTCCTTCAAAGATCTTAGGAATGTTTGAATAGTGTGTGTATAAGAACGCGCGCGTGCGCGAGCACACACACACACACACACACACACACACACACACACAGGTTCCAGTGCAACTGAGTGTATATGTGTTCACCAAGAGAGAAAAAGATATTTATGAAAAAGTTGCTTCTAAAGTTTGAGTTCTACACAAATCCTTTCTTTGTTGTTGCTGTTGACTTTATGAAGGTGATTGATTTTCATTTTCGAAATCTGTCACTTCTGGGGCATCTGTTTTGGGGGCAGACTTCTTACAGCTGCAGCAGAGAGTGCCTGTCACTAGCCCCGTTGCTCAGTCACCATCTCCATTTATAGTTGGGTGTTTTAAGTGTTCCAAACAGGAACTCTGAGTTTCTGCTGATCTTGAGTCATCAAAGTAAAACTTGATTCCTTCCCTTTCATTCAAGTCTTTTATGCTGACATTTTTTAAAGACTGACATGGTTGACTAAAAAACCCTGACCCTCTTAAATGAGTATTGATTTTAGAGTTCCTTCTGGATATACGTTTAAATAGGCTTTTTAATAATAATAAAAAACCGCATCTCTTCCCATTGCGCACTATTGCAACCATCTTTTTGCAGAAGGTAAAGTTCACTCTACCAAGACAAGAATATTCAGGTTGCTTAAATTACAAATGTGAATTGCAAAGATTAATATTAAAAAGGGGGAAACATATAACTCTATTCCACAGCCTCCTGTAACTTAACAGAACTGAATCTAGATTTGCAAAAGCCCTAGGAAACAGCAACTGTGACAAATATGTGGGAAAGATAGCTGTAACAGTCAGGATCCCATAAAAAATAATGGCACATTGAAGCTAGCTTCTTTCGGGAGTTAATTTATACAGGCATCCTATACATAGAAGCACAGAAAAGTCATAGGGACAGACTGATGATCTGGGGTTAGCAGAGTCAGAGTTGTCATCTTCTCTAGGCTCAAGGGGACCAGGGCAGAGAGCAGTTATTTGGACCAGGAAAGAGAGAGTGTTGTAGAGGGTAATTTCTAGAGAGGACCAGTGACCCTTCCTGGCAACTGGGATCTCACAGTCAACTTGCCAGACGATACGTGTCCCAAGAGTCTATCAATGTTAACAGGGGCACTATTGTTATCTTGGGTTTGACAATGATGTGTTTTGTCCTCCATCCATCTAATGATAATAGCATACCCTAGTCACTGTGAATAAAAAAAAAATGCCCTGACTCATTTCTAAAGTTTCCCTGGCCAGTAGTTATTTTTCTCCTTCTCACTGGAAGTGAAATGTTAACCAAATGGCCGTGGGAATGTTTTAATCTTTATCTCTGAATCAACCTAGATCTCCAAAAAGCTTTTCCCCAAACACTAAATATCTGAATCAATAGACTTTTATTTGATGGTGGGAGCAAGATAGTTACACCATTTACAGCCCCACATCCACGTTCCAGGCAAGAAGGGGGGAAAGAGAAAAGTAGGAAGGTTTGATGCTTATGTCAGGAGAACCCTAGTTTTCTCAAAAATGTTTAGTGCGCATCTCATTGGCCAGAACCATGTCACATGGCAGCTTCTACTGACAAAGCAGTATTAGGCAGTATATTAAGTGGGCATATTGCTGCCCTGAACAAAAGTGAAATTCTTGAGTAATGAAGTAAGGTAATGTGTATGATGAGGAAGCAGTTAGCAGTTAGCAGCATCTATTATCTCTTGCGGTTTGGTGTGAGTAAATGACAATAGAGTAATGTTAAGTCTTTCATCTTTTCTTCCTCTACATACTAGAATTTGCCTGGAAATTAATAAACAACAAGATTAGAGTGTGTTCACTTATTTGTTATATCAACAAATCTAATCTTAGTATCTCAGAACAAAATTAAAACATTGCATCATTCGCATATTTGCAGATTCCTAATAGACTAATGCCTGAGGACAAATGTTTGTATCTCCAAGCTTTCCCAACCTTGACTTATCTCCCATCATAATTTTAGCCTCCCATAGTTCAGAAGGAAGATATTTTCACCTTTGTGTCATTAGGGCATTCAGTAAGTATTTCTTTTTGTTTTTAATTTCATGATGACAACATAAGGTTATATTTTATTTTTTCAATTACAGTTGACATTGAATATTATATTAGTTTCGATTATACAGCATTGTGGTTAAACATTCATATAACTTAACAAAGTGACTCCCCCCATAAGTCTTGTTACCCACCTGGCACCATATATAGTTGCTACAATGTTATTGACTTTATTCTCTATGCTGTACTTTGCATCCCCATGACTATTTTGTAACTACAAATTTGTACTTATTAATCCTTTCGCCTTTTTTACCTAGTACCCCACCCCCTCTCCCATCTGCCATCTATCAATTTTTTATCTGTATCTATGAGTCTGTTTCTGTTTTGTTAATTCATTTATTTTGTTCTTTAGATTCCAACAATAAGTGGAATCATATGATATTTGTCTTTCTCTGACTGACTTCTTTCACTTAGCATGATACCCTCTAGATCCACCCATGTTCTTGCAAATTGTAAGATTTCAGTCTTTTTTATGTGTGAGTAATATTCAGTTGTATAGTCAGTATTTCTGAGTTGAAGGAATGAATTCAACAGACATCAGGAAGATATAAGAGGAGGAGGCTGCATTTCAGTTGTCTTTGGTAAATTACTTTGATCTAAAATTTAGCATCTCCTTGGTTGTGCCGGAGTGTTTGTTGCTCTCAACACCCTCTTTGCATTTATTTATTTATTTATTTATTTATTTATTTATTTATTTATTTATTTATCTATTTAATTTGATTTCCATTGCCCAGTCCTCCAGCTTTCTTTCTTTACTACCTTCTTTTAGCACTATGGTGACTAAGTGTTGGGGTAATTTGATTAAGATCATGGTGTTCAATATATTTTTTGTTGTTGTTAGTGTTTTGGGTGTTATACATATTTAATAAGAACAAAAACATTGCCAAATCTAATGTGATGAAGCTACCCCTCTATGTTTTCTTTTATGAGTATTACTAGAGGCCCGGTGCACGAAATTCGTGCACTGGGGATGGGTGGGGAGTCCCTTAGCCCAGCATGTGCCCTTCTGGGGCCGGGAGGCCTCTCGGCTCCGCTGATCCAGGCGGTCAGGAGGCCTCTTGGCTCCGCTGATCCTGGGGCCGGGAGGCCTC